TGCAGTCATCCCTGAGTCCGTTTCACTCAAGCAGCTAAATAAGCTATAAAGACATCCCCTCTGCCTGCACCAGCACACTGAATCCAGAACCTCTGGTAAGGATTCATGTTACTCCATACAGATTTATATTTTGTCCTCCTAGGACCAAATCCCTTAGGGTCCATTCACTCACACATTCCCCAGGTTTCTACAATGTAATGTAGCAAAATCTTGCCATTCTTTTGGTGTAGAAGCTCTGTCTTCCCAGGGTAGACTTTGTACTTGCTCCAGTGAAGCATGTGGACCTCTGATGCCAGTGGAGAATCTAGTGGCCACAAGAAGTGGGTCTTGAGAAGAAAAGATATCCTTTGCAAGGCATCTGCCCTGGGCAACCTTCATGCAGCTCTGTAAGCAAGGCAAAGTGAAACTCTCCAGACATGAGCAAGCTGCTTCCACCAGTAAGGGAAGCCCAAAATGACTAAGGGTTCAAGATTCTCAGCTTCATCTGCATCTGCCCAGATTTCCCCTTTCGAAGGCTCAGGTTCTCACTCCTTCCTAATCAATGCCTTGACTTTCGCACAAGAGATTAGCAAGAGATGGTGAATTCAATTTATATTATAATTATGCAACTCACAAATTAAATTTTACATGTCATTTCTAGCAATTGTGAGCCCGCAGCTATAAGAAATAACTTTTGACTTATTATTTTATAAATAATTTATTTTATTTATTTTTTAAATAAATAATTCATCTTATTTATATTATTATTAGTTGAGCTCTCTGGTTCTCTGATTGTGACCCATCTTTGAGGCTTGTTTCATGGGATCACTCCTGGTACTAATTGACCTAGCACTCAGGATCCAGTCAAGTGACAAATGGAATTTAATATAAAGAATTACAAACTGGGTAACTAGGAAGTAACAATTGCAGGAAAGCAGATACCACCATTAGGGATAGGAGAATAAAAGGAAAGGGTGGAATGACTAAAACTTAGAAGAATACAGGATAGTCCCTCGGAGCTCAAACTCAGACCCCTACAAGCTGTGCTGCTTGGCTGATGCTACAGTGTCACTGAGCTGGGTCAGTATCTTTTCAGTACTGTGTGAGCCCTCTCTCTGCTCAGCTCTTAGCCTCCCAGCAGCCACTCTCTTCCAGCCCCCCAAGTGTTGCCCTACACTTGTGTAGTATAGGGTCAGCCAAAGGTCTAAGCCACAGGTGTCCAACCTTTTCGATTTTGTGCTGCACATTGGAAAGATAAAAGTTGTCTGAGGCCACAGAGAAAATACACAAACATTAATGAAAGCTGATTAGCAAAAAAAAAGAAAGATTCACACATACTTTTCTTGATATCCAACACCACAGATAAGTACACACAAAAAAACTCCCTCACAAAATCAGCATGCAACACGCAGGCCACAGGTCGGACACCCCTTAGACTCTAAGCATTCTGGAGACCCTTTCCTGCGGTTCCTCCTTTTTATGTCCTGCACCCCTAAAACTCACTCCTCTAGTGATAAACTCTTAACTCTGCCTATTCTATCCAGCAGACCTCACAACCTGCGGGGGCACCACTTCCCTGCACTGTGGCCTAGAAAGTGTCCCCAAGGAGAAAGCCTCTCTCCACCACAAAGATCACAGCCCTGTGTTGGAACACTGTCCAGTGCCTGCCCACAGAAAGTCCTTGCTTTTGCCAGGTTTTTGCGTTATTTAAACAGGAGAGCAAATCCTCTCTCATTCTTTTTGGCTGCTTAGCCTCTGAACTCACATCTTTGTGGAGATCTACATCTTACTATGTCTCCTCATACACAGTGTTGAAGTGAAATCTTCCCCCCAAATCTCTTATCCATCACTCATGGGGGCTTCCCTCTAAAAGCCCACCTCTCACTCCACCCTAGAATGGCCTGTGAGAGGCCTGGAGACAGAGATTTCATCCTCCCCCAGCCTGGAAAAGGGCCTTCTACGATTGGCCTGACTTTTAGCTTGACGTTCAAGACCATGGCCTAATTACGCTGAAGCCTCTGCTCACTTGAGCTCCCTTCCCTCCTCTTCCTCTACACTGGAAGCTCCCCAGGGATGGGGAACGTCTGCCATTTATCTCTACGTTGAAGGGAGGAATGAATGGATTAGGACATTCATCCCCACTTCAGCAGCTGTTGGACAGGCATGCATCTGCTCTGAGTGGGGCGTCAGGTAGCCCCGGTTCTGTGTTTGTGCTCAGGCTGGAAGCCGAAGAGGTAGAAAAATCACACCCATCCTTGCTGCCTAATTATTTACCCAGGTGCGTGGGATCTCTCACCACCTGCCAGACAACAGAAGTGCCTCAACCCCCTTCCCCACTGGGAGAATCTGTCCCCACTTTTCCCATCATCCTATGGGGCCCAGAGGTGTGGCCCACAGCATTAATTGGTACCATGGGAACCAGACAGAGGGGGAAAAAAAACTAATGGATCTGTTGGGCAATTTTAAAAGGAAATCAACTTCAAAGCTTTGGAATGTTTTCTCTACCCAGATATCCTGACTTTGATGCCACTGGCTCAGTGTTGGAAAATGAGTCTCCTCCTTTAATTCTCAAAGAGTCATTATGCATACATAATGCTCTCCCTACCTTTTAAGAGGAATGTAGATCATATGTAAATGTGCCTTTGTGCTACTGTGTATCCCAACCTGCATTAAGCACACACTCATTTTATATTAATGACATTGTTCAGTTCCTCTCTCTCGGTGTTTTCTATTTATTTGGCAGTTGTGACCATGCTTTGCCTAGTCCAGATCTCAGAGTCTGGTTCTGTACTATGGGAATGAGGGTCAATTTGAGGATCGATCATCTCACCCAATCCCTAATGCTTTGACTTCCTCTGCACTCCTTGCCAAGACTCAAACTCCTCCTCTGATGGGGAGTTCACCACCTCTGCAGCAGCCTATTTTCTTTTCAAACAGCTATGAAACCTTAGAAAGTTCAAACTTACTAGCAAGGATGTCCCTGAAAACTAGCATGGGGTTTCTCCCTTTTGTTTTCAAAACCTGCTTTGTTCATTTTACATTCAAAATGTTTTCCTTCACATCACTGAACAATCTTAAATTTTTGCATGAATACACATTCTCATATTTACCAATAGGTCATCACACTAGCTGTGCATTTTATAATTGCTATTTTATTAAACAATGTATTATGTATAAACATTTTTTCATGTCAGTTAACCCACATCTCCTTCCTCATTTTCAGTGCTCACATAATCCTCTGTTGTTGGATGTAGCATAATTTATTTAATCTTGGCCTCTCATTGGGCATTTATGTTGGTCCTAATTTTTGCTGTAGTGGTCAGCTCCAGGATGAAGTCTTCACACATATCAATTATCTCCTTAGGAGAGAGTCATAGAAGGGCAGAGAGGGTCAAGGGGTGTGAGCACCCTCAAAGACCATTGCAAGTAAAGACAGCAACTTCCTGGCTGAAAAGAATACTAATAAGCATGGAGAGCTGTGCTGAGTGCACCATCAAAATTGTTATATTTATTCCCAGTCACTCGGCCCCCTGCTCCCTATGGCTGACTGTAAGGTAAAGCTAGAGCAGGCCGGGCAGGTGACCCTGCTCTGACCACCACATAAAGTGGCCTCTAAAGGGGCTCCTTTCTGGGGATAAAGATATCCCCTGGAAGACTGCAAACTTGGAAGAAACTGGGCGGGAAAAGCCAAATGAACACCATCCAAGAGTGCTAGAGCTGGTCTTCCCAGGCACTGAGGGCCTTTTTCCAACTCTAAGAGTTGAGCATAGGACAAGAAAAGACTAGAGAGAGTCCCTTCCTCCATCCAGTGCTTTCACCTGTCCACACATCAAATCCAGCAGCCAGGACTCTCCCTTAGTTTTCTTGTCCGGATCCCCTGCCAGGACTTGGACAGGATGGGATGCACACAGCCGCGTCCAGAGCAAGCAGAGGGGACACTTGAACAACTGACTGCAAGAACCTGAATCTTTCTGATGTGCATGCCCCATTAAGTCACGAGTATGCTGATACCGTGCACCAGGACTTCATCAGAGCATCATTTGGAGTAACAAAAGGATGCAAAACCAACCACTGGTTAAATATTAATAATTGTGATTTCTGTGCAACTGAGTAGAGTTTAAAAGCCTGAGGCTACTCTACACAAACTCCAAATATCTCACTGTATTTCATCACAAGGAAGGGACTGTTGTCCACGAGATGCACCGTGACTTTATATAGCATTTAGATACACACACGCACACAGGGCCAAGTAAACTGTGCTCCCATTGGTTTTACAGGAAACCAGATTTCAGAGATGGTAAGAGGTGGGGAAACTGTGAAATACTGTAGGTGGAAAAACCAAGTGCAGACCAATGAGTATGGTATGCTACTCTGTGTGTGTGTGAAAGAGAGAGACACAGAGAAAGAGACACACACACACACAGAATTATTCTAAAGGGAGAGGCTTGGGGGAGGGGCGGGAAGCAATCATAATGCTTTTATAGGCATAGAAAATTCCTGAAAAGGACAGATACCTAACAGCAAGAGTGGCCTCTGGAAGCCGGGTTGGGGGGCTGGGACATGGGGTAAAAAGGAAACCCTTTCACTCTTACAGATACGTATAAAATATAAAATGTTAGACATATCTTCCTGTTGTAAAATAAAACTTTGAAAACTACTCAGTGCAAAATAAAATAGCACATCCTTCCAGGACGACTGAGGGGCATAATATTTGGAGCCTGCCTTGGATTTTGACACTGGTCACCCAATGTTGACTCTACCAAACCACCTCGGGCAAATTCCCACTCCGACTGCGTCTCGGTTTCCCCAGGAGTCCAGTTCCGGACGTCCCTCCAGCTCTGAGCACCTGGCCGGCCCGGAGATCCGCCGAGCTGGGCTAGTCCCAGCGCCAAGCATCTGTGTGCGGGCGCCCCGCGGTGCGGGCCCGGCCAATCAGCGGCCGCCGGGCGGGAGGGGTGGAAGCGCCCCGCGCGCGGAGCGGAGCGCGAAGCAGAAGCGCCACTGCCGTCCCGGAGCAGGCCATGCCGCGCTTGCCGCTGCTCTTCCCTGTGCTGCTTCTGCTGCTGCTGCCAGTGCTGGCCTCGGGCCTCGGGCTCCGCGGTGCGGGCAGCCGGCACCCTGACTGCGGTCCGTGCCGGCCGGAGCGCTGCCCGGCACCAACAAACTGCCCCGCGCCGGCGATTTCTGCGCGCGACGAGTGCGGCTGCTGCGCGCGCTGCCTGGGCGCGGAGGGCGCGAGCTGCGGGGGACGGGCTGGCGCGCGCTGTGGCCCCGGCCTGGTGTGCGCTAGCCGGGCCGCGGGGGCGGCGCCCGAGGGGACGGGGCTCTGCGTGTGCGCGCAGCGCGGCACCGTCTGTGGCTCCGACGGCCGCTCCTACCCCAGCATCTGCGCACTGCGCCTGCGCGCCCGGCACACGCCCCACGTGCTCCCCAGCCACCTGCACAAGGTGCGCGATGGCTCCTGCGAGTTTGGTAAGTTGGGTTCAGGCTCTGTGGAGCTCAGGCGGGTAGAGAAAGCCGGTCTGACTCTCTGGGGTGTGGGATGAAGGATTCCCCCTGGCCAGCAGAGGACAGAAATGGCTGGGCCTCAGTTTCCCCTTACGGAGCACTATCTCTCGTCTCACCTGGTGCTTAGGAAGACTGGCTAGTTATCCACGTCCTGCACTCGCCCTTGCCAACCTCATGCAGAAACCAGCCGTGGAGCTAGTTGGATGTTTGGTGAGCCCACTTCATCAGTTACTGTAGGCCTGGCATGTTCGTCCCCAGGGAATTGGGGACTTAAGGGGGCTTGGGGGGTGTATTCCACTGTGTTGAGAAGGGTTTTTTGACTGGAGAGGAGGGAAGATGAGGCTGTCAGAGGAGGAGGAATTACAGACTGGGGACTCCAGGTGGCACCAGGCCAGACCCCAAGGTTCCCAGATGTGGAGTAGGGCCCAGCTGGATCCTGAGGGAGCTTTCAGCCAGGACAGGTAAGACCTTTGGAGACCTAAGATCTGAATTATAGTGTCGGGGGCACATCTAGGTTTTGTAGGTCTAAAGCATATATAATTTGGAGGGCCCTGCCTTAAATAAAGGAATGGAATATTATGAATTGCTAGGGACTTAGGAACTTAAGCTTCATTAACATCACAGTAGAACCATTGCTGGTTGCTATAACTGCCCACCCTCCATATATACTTTTTAAAAATCAAACAAAAAGAAATAAATACAGGGGTGTCCATTGAAGCACCCTGCTTTGCTGGCTTCCTAAGTCAGAGTGTGGCCTGCCCATCTGGTTTTGGAGAACTGCCCCAATGGACTTTGCCTGGAGAAGGGAGTGGAGAGTTTAGGGTGATTGAGCAGGTGGCCAGTGATTGTCAAGGAGCCTGCCTTGCAGCCTGTGGTTCTGTTTTCTGGGGAAGAATTCTGCTCTGGGCCTAGAAGCCAAGTCTAGACCCAAATGCCCAAGTCAGTGTAATGACTTCAGCTTCAAGAAGGAATATTGGGGGTGGGGGTGAGACCATTTCCAGGACTATAAAGTGTCTCATATTATTTTCCTCCCAAGTATTTTAAGAGGTAAATATACTCAAGTTCAGGAGACCAAATGGGTCATAACAGGAGATGGGGCAGGAATCCTTCTGTCCTAGGAAATATAAAAATAGTGTTTGGGCCACTGAAGACTTGAAGCAGCTCCAGGAGCACAGGAAAGTCACCACTGGCTACTCCTAGCTGGGGATGCCAGTAGAGAACAGAGCTGGCTCCTGAGCAACCTTTGGCCAGTCCCTTCTTCTCTCTGGCAGTGTCAGGCCCTGGGGAGCCATTGTTAAGGTCCCTTCCCCTTGGAAAATTTGCTTCTGCCCTATGGCAGTTAAACAGTCTTGTCTTTTCCCTTTTTCTATTTCCTATCACTCTTCTTACAATCTGCTTCCCTCAGCAGTTCATTCCCAGGCAGTTCTCTTTGTCTCCAGACAGGTAACACTTTAACTCCACATGCAGGAGACATAAGAAATGCTGACCAGGTCCCCAGAGTCTAAACAGTGCTGATAGTGTCAGAGAATTTCTCCCTAGAGTGGTGTTCTGTTCCTCAGAGTAGGATGTCTCAAAGACGTTCAGACCAAATCTGCTATTATGCAGAGAAGGAGACTAAGTCCCCGCCAGGGCAGGGCACTTGTCCAGGGTGACCACGAAGGCTGACTGGCTCCCGGGTCCCAACATCCTGTCCAGTGCTCTTTCAGGACAGGACCTGATAGTATTAAGTCAGGCAGATGGTGGTTTCCATGGCTACCAGAGTGAGGCCAGATGGCAGATGGAAACGCCATACCCCTAATTCATTGAAAATTACCAAATGACAAGTAAATGTGACAGCCCCTCACTCTGATCTATGGGCTCTGAGGCCCACCCTAGGCACAAGCCCGGGGAATAAAGATGTTCACGGGGCCAAACGGAAGCAGTTCAGAAGCTGCTTTCCATGATCTCATTAGTGACAGGCATCAGGCCTCGCTGGAGTTCGTGTCATCTGCCACAGACCTGTCCTGGTGCGCTTGTGTGGCCCCTGCCCCTGTGTCTGGGTAAATCATGAGGGTGTGGACAGGGGATGTTTCCTAGCTGAGGCAGCACCTCATTCTGCGCTGCCCTAAAGCCATCTTTTATTCAGAAGACACAGCGGGAGCATTTTTTAACAATGCCTCTAGGGAGCCTAGTTGAAGGGAAACAGACTGAGTCAGAGCAGGGCTGTTCTGCTTCAATATTGGCAATAAAATCACCCCTCCTCTGCTCCCTCCTGACTCCTTCAGTGCCGGAGCACCTTGACTTTAAAGGAATGAGGAGTCTGTATTTATTGCTGTCAGTATGGGATGTGTTCTTACAAGTGCCTCTGAGGGGCGTAGGGAAGGAGTTTCTGGCTGAAATCCTGCCCCTCCTCATATGCTCCGAAATGCCCGGAGTTGCCTGATAATGAGAGTAATCCTTTGATCAGCACATGTTTTTGAAAACCAGCATAGGAATAATTCTTTACTGTTGGAAATCACTCTTTCACCATCTTCTTACTTGATTTTTACAACTGCTGTGGGGAGAGAGGCCCCAGTCCCATTTAATAAGAGGGAAAACGGAGGCAAGAGGAAGGGTGTCCCTGGAGCGCCTGGCTAGGCCAGCTGTGATAGGGCTGCAGCCTGCACGGCTAGCCTGCTAGCTGCCCAGCTAGGAAGGTCCTGTACATTGACTAGCCTTGAATTGTAAGGCCCTCTCAATTTGGATCTACTTTCCTGTTTTTCCCTCATCCTGCTGCATAGCACTGGGTGACGGCTCCTGAGAGGAGTAGGAATAGCCCCACAGAAGGGGAGGCCTCTGAACGGAGCTTTAAAAGATGGGGAGAAAATCCCTAGGCTGAGAAGGAGGCTGGCCTGGTGCAAACCACGTTTGAGGCACAGAAGTGGGAGGCCCTTTGGCAGGTGTGAGCTGTGGGCCCTCTGGGCTGCTGCCTGGCGGGATGTTTGGGGGAGGAGATGATGCCTCACGGTGGTGTGGGGCAAGGCTGAGTGCCAGGCCGAAGGGTGAAGCTTCCTCCCATACTAAAGGATTGGTTCAGTTTCTCACTTGTATGGCAGTGGGGCCCTAGTACTAGTAGTGTGATTATTGCCATCATTACTTCCGAGAGCTGGATCACTCAGTGTGTGCACCCCGACCTTTTGTTAACATTGAGAGGGGGTGCAAGTTGATTCGTGTTTTGGATGGTGATTAGGTAGGAACGGGGTCTTGAAATCCTGAATCTGAGAAAATTCACCTTGGTTGAAATTCCAGCTCCTCTTAGAAACCTGCATCTGTGCAAGGCGCGTGTTACCAGGTAACCAGAAGAGGCGGCGAATGCCACTTTGTGAGAGGGACAAAGAAGGGGGCCTCGTGCTCAAAAGCCTTTCATCTGAGGGAAGGGATCTGAGGCAGAGGCTGCAGGGAGTGGGATTAAGCCGTTTTTCGTTCCACATCATAACGTGACTGTTAGCATAAATTATCAGGGCTGCTCAGCACATTGATTATTAAACTCTTTGGTTGCGGGCTTTCTAAAACAAGCAGACAGGTCCTGAGGGATGACTTTTGATATGCTTTCTTTCCCTGGTGCCATCAACTTTAAAGAAATCTCAGAGGCATTTGGGGAGATTTTTCATTACAACCATCAAGACCACTGTTATTGATGGGGTAGGGGGAAAGATCGCCACACACTGTAATAATAATATTGATCCTTTTCATTTGTACAGATCTGCACAGTTAATAACGCAGTCATATCCATTATCTCCCTTCACCCCGAGGATATGGGGCAGTGGTCATAATCTTCATCTGCAGATAAAGAGGAAATGATTAGCAGCTTGCCCAAGCTCCATGGTTGGACCCCTGGGCATTTGAGTCTCCCTCCGGGACTCTTGTGCCCACCCCACAGCACTGCCTGCTGTGATTGTGTACCCGGGAGTGACTATTATCTGTTACCTGCTGGTTAGACTTGGATGGGTAGATTTGTGCCATCCCAGCATTTCCAGTGTTGTTGTTGACATAAGCAGAAGGAAATAAGTATTTGCAAAATGAGAGAAGCTGGCATGTTGGCAGACTGGGTCGACCAGGATCTGACCTCCTTCCTGAAAGCCCCATTATTCTCCAGCAGTGTGGTGGCTCTGGCATCAGTAAGGTTCTGTGCCTGGCTCCCAAGTGAGGCCTGTGGGCCATGGCCCCCAGTGCCTCCAGGTAGGGACCTAATGGGCCCTCTCATCAGAGATCGGGTGAGTGAGAGTCTCAAGCAGGCAAGGACTTTAGAGGAGACTGCTCTGGGGACAGCACAGCCGGATGAGTCCTTATGCCCCTCTGTAGAAGCCTTTCACAGTTTGTAAGGAATTGTGTAACTGTGCTTTTGCATAACAAAAGCCCTTGAAGAGTGGGGGGGCTGGGGGAGGATGGACTTCTGTGCCCATTTTAAAGAAGACACCGAGGTCAAGTCGCAGTACTGGGATGTGGCAGAGAAAGGATTTGAAACTGGGGTCCTCTGCTGCAGCCTGCCAAAATCCCTCCTGTGTGTGGAGGTCATGACATTGAGTGCCACGCTCAAATGAGTCCTGAGGGACAGTAAGGACTGGGGATGTCCTGCTACTGTAAGGACACATAGCCCATGTCATCGGGTATCTTCACAGCAGCTGTTCCCTGGAGATGATGTGTGGGGTGTTTCCATTGTTGTGCAGAAAAAGCTAATATAGCAGGCCTGAGCCGTATCCTCAGAAAGGCCTGCTGGCAAGCTCAGCCTTTGGCTGGGGTCTGGGAACTTGGATTTCTGGAGAGGTCCCACCACTACTCCCAGAACTGGTGAGAGCAACTCACCATACTGAAGTCTACAGTGTAGTTTATGCTGAACTAAATCACACCCCTGGGAGTGTGATTATGGGATTGTGGTGTGCAGGAGGCAGGGGGTGCCTTTGTGATGAGCTCCCCCTGGAAACCCAGGCACCAAGTGTCTCATGAGCATCTCGTAGACAACATTTCACACAGTTGTGACTGTTGCTGTGCCCAGGTGACTCCACTAGGAGAGGCTCTGGGAAGCTCGCGCCTGGCCTGTTCCCTGTGCTGATTTTGCTTTGTGTCCTCGTGTTGTAATAAGTCATAGCCTGAAAACCACTATATGCTGAGTCTTACGAGTTCTGGGGGATTATTACGGGACTGCCAACACCTTCCCTCCAGAACATAATCTGTTATTCTGGAATGGAGTATAGATCCAATATAGATAATAAGTATAGACAATAAATGTTTCACTTTGAAAGATAAGTGCAGAAGTTAAGAGTCAGGGGGCCTGGGTTTGGGTCCTCACTCCTCCACCCTCTTCACTGTTCTGTGTCTTGGTTTCTTTGCCAGTAAAATGAGAACGAAAGCACTCACCCCAAAGGGCCAGCTTAAGGATTAAGCAGGTGGCATCCATGGAAGGGTCCTCTAGTGAAAAGTCAAGATGGTCTTAGCACAGTGGTTAAGAAGAGCTTGGGTTCTGGAGCCAGGTGGCAAGGCTGATAGGCGTACCTAGCCATTTACGACTGGTAAGCCTGGGCAGCGCCCCCATCTGGCGGCTGGTGAGATTGCTGGAAAGAGAAAGGAGGCGTTAGAGTGCTTAGCATACAGGGAGCATTATGTTAGCTGGTGGCATTACCATTATTGCTGTCATTATCAATAGATTGATCACAAAGAGCTGTGTGAACTGAAATATTTTAAATTTAACATCAGATATGTTAAAATTGAAAAGACTATTAGGATAAGAGCAGCACGAGGAAATGTTTTGAGGTGGCCAAGCTGTCGTCTGTCTTGGTTATCACGGTAGCCGCGTGACTGCATGCATCTGTCAGAACCAAGAACTTCACAGTGGAAAGAACGAATTGTGCTTTAGGTAAACTTTAAAATAAATAAGGAAATAAATAAAATGTCAAATGTCCCTTTAACGTGCTTGGATGTGCTTTGCCATCCCTTTAAAAGCAGGAGGCTCTTTCAGAAAAGAAATGGTATTTTCTGCCAGGAAAGCAGCGACAAACACAGTATCTCCAAGACAGACTTTCTTAATTGTAGTTATCGAAAGAGAGAGGGAAACTCGAGGAGAGAGAAACACGACAAGAGAGAAAGATGAATTGTGATTTACTGGTTTATTCACTTAGTCCCTGAAAGGGACTGATGAAATCACATTTAAAATTTATGACTTTACATGAAGGAAAGTAAAACACGTTGATTGAGTGTCCCGTTGGAATCCCTCTCAGGCTGTGGGAGAAGAGGCTTCTGACTGTTACCGCAGCCACTTGAGCGCCTGTGCGGCTGAGGAGGCGCCGGAGGGGCAGTGTGAATAAATTAGACCCTCTTTGTCACCGCAGATGGAGCTCCTGCTGGAGAGCACGGTGTTGTGGTTCTTTGTGGTTTTCAGACAGTGTGGGAAGGCTGGGACCTTGGTTCATGGGGGCTTTGGCACGCTCAGACATTGGATACGGTTCTCTGGAGGGCAGTCAGATGGGCACCCTGAAGATGTAGGCAGATCAGGCAGAGGAAGAGGGGGGAGTCTCTGCATTCAACTCACTAGAGAGCTGTTGAGGCCCCGGGGCTGTAGGGCTCCAGAGGGCAGCCTTGGGACCACTGGGTAGGGTTACAGAGAGGCAGTTTTAGTGCTAGGCAAGGATGAGCTTTCTTACCAGCAGGCCCCTCCAAGCATGCAATGACCCGGCTCCATAAGTAGTGAGCTCCCAGTCCCTGGAGGATGCAAGTGGAGGCTTGATGAGTATGTCACAGAGTGTCAGGCACAGAATCTTGGGGGGTTAGGATGATAGATGACTTCTCCTGTGACTCTAAGATAATTTTCCAGAGACTTTGGTACCTGTACAATAGGACCTGCTTCCCAACCTGCTGGTTGGAGGGGGGCAGACCAGTCTCTTTCCTGCACCCTTCCACTCCTGTGCCACTGGGTGTGGCTGGCCCTGCCCTTCACCTGCTCTGTCCTGCCTGTCTCCACCCTTTGCTCCCCTCTCTTATTGCAGCCTCACCCAGGTGGGCGAGGGCCCTTTCTCTCTCAGGGCAGGCCTATGGCCCCATCCAGCAGCCCCTCTGCCTGAGCAGCAAGGCTGCTCTTGAGTCACCAGGCAGAGCCCTGCAGTTTGACGGCCTGGGAATGAATGCATCTTTGATCTGTCATGTGTTTCTTCATCTAGTCTTGTCTGAAGATAGAGAACCCACTCGCAGCCCTCCCTTGTCCATCACGTTAGCTTAAACTATCACACTTTCCCTGATTCCGTGGTCAGATCAGCAGGACAGCCTTGGGAAGCAGGAGCATCTTCCCCATCTAACTGAGAAGGGCACCTGAGCATGAGGGGCCCTGCTTCCACGTTATACCTTGCCCAAGGTTCTGTGGAGCCAGACTCCAGGGTGGCTGAGCTTGTTGTCCAGTGCAGGGGATAGAAATGCCAGGACTACAAGGCAGGCTGGGATTCAGCAGGTCAGAGAGGTACAGCGCCCTGGTCCTGGTCCTGGGTAAGGGCACTACTGCTACTGCTAAGCCCTGCAAGGCCAATGAAGTGTCTACCTGTGGAGCTGGGGAGGGCAGTCCCATGCGGAGGGAAGGCAGGCCCCATAGGGGCTGCAGGATGGGGCCTGAAGGCTGAGGTGGCCGGACTTGGTTCTTATGGCCCAGTGAGAGCAGAGCAGAGCAGAGCAGAGCAGAGCAGAGGCCAGGCACAGGGAGGAAGGCAGAGTGTGGAGTGCGAGCAAAGAATTTCTAAGTCCAGGTACCATCCAGAGAGCCCACACCCTGCCTCTCCTCTCTGTAACATCTGACAGATTAGAACCATATTCTCCTGGTTCCTTGATTTGCTCTTGCTGGGCTTCCTCAGTTCCTCAGCTGGGTTTTCAGGTCTACATTTCCACCCTGGGGGGTGGGGAGGTGTGTAGGGTTAGGGGATCTTGGGAGTCTGTGCTCTGCTCATGCAAATGGGCAGTCCTGAATGCACCCTGGGAGACCTCAGCTCTGGGGGGCCTGCAGCTGTTCTGCCTGGCATCCTTTCCCATCTGTTAGAAGACTCTGTGGTTGGTGACGTGACGCCAGGCCCCCCTCGGAGTCTGCCTCCATGTCCTTTAACAGAGCCAAAAGCAGATGGCATCCGGGCCTGGAAGGGGCCCTGAGAGAGTGTCCTGAGACCGGACTCTGCCACAAGACACGCTAGGGGACTTTTGGGAAGTCACCTTTCCTCTCTGGACAGCTGTGTTCCTCTTGATAAAACAAAGGCAACATGTCAGGAAATGGTAGGCATCTTTCAGGTCTAAGGAGAAGTCTTCTGTGACTCCTGCCTGAGAATGTGCTCCTGGTGTCTGGAGAGTGTTCGTCTCCCTGCGCCTGTCATGTCAAGAGGTCCCAATAGGCAGAATTTAGAGGTGGGGGGCTTGGAAGCTGGCAGGGTGAAGATCGTGTTCCTTTGTCTCCTCGTAGCTCCTGTGGTCATCATTCCTCCCCAGAGCGTCCACAATGTCACTGGGGCACAGGTGTGCCTGTCCTGTGAGGTGAGGGCTGTGCCCACCCCAGTCGTCACATGGAAGAAGGTATTTCCAGCCAAGAAGCAGTGTGTGATTGTGCGCGGGAGAGAGAGGCAGGGAGAAACAGGCAGATGTGGGTGGTAAATGCCTTTTTGTGGGTGTGTCTGTGTTTGTATCTTTATTAGTGGGCCAGAGGATTAGGAGGAGCTATTTCATACAGCACTCCTCTGCCTAAAACCTTTCACCCCCAAGCTCCTCCTAGAAAGGAGAGGGTTGCAATTCTTCTGGTGCCATTTCCTGCTCTGGCCACGACAGCTCTGCTGTTACCCAGCCCCCATCAGCTGTAGTAGCTTAGAGCCTTCACTGGGGAGCTTGCTGGTGGCAGGAAACCCAGTGCTGGTCCAAAACCAAATCTTCCAGAAGACCAGTTTTGGAGAGACTGGCAAAGATCACACATCTGTTGTCCCTTTATCTCAACAGCCCAGAGATGGGTGGTGAAATTCTGAACTGCTTCTGATGCACTAGTGGCTGCCAGCCAGGGGCAGGCGCTGTCCATATGCACAAACAGGTTTAAAGAATGCCTGGCATTTGAATAGGAAGGAGAGATGCTAGGGTTTCTCCTTTTAAGTCAGTGGTGGGAGGAAGGTGAGGAGGTCTGTGGGGTTGTCCTTATCTAGAAATACTTTTTCTAAACTCTCTTGGTTTTTCTGTCCTCTGTAGGTCACACAGTCCCCTGGGGGCACCCAGGTGCTGGAGGAGTTGCCCGGGGACCATGTCAATATAGCAGTCCAGGTGCGAGGGGGTCCTTCTGCCCATGAGGCCACCGCCTGGATTTTGGTGAGTGTTTAGGGTTATTGGATATTATTGATCTCTGTAAACCACCCTTTTATATTTCTATAAAGCTGTTCTTGTTCATTTCTCATGGAATCCTCCGGTCACTATGAGGCAGGCAGGGGCAGCACAATGGCCTGTGAAGATGTCCATGAATCTGTCCCCATTATCTGTGGCTGTGTTATGTTACATGGTGAGGAGGGGGTTAAGGTGGCTAAACAGCTGACTTTGAGATAAGGAGAGAGTATCCTGGATGCTGCAGGTGGGCCCAGTTCAAAGCTGGGTCCTTATATGTGGAGGAGTGACGCAATGTGAGGCGGACATGACCCACCATTGCAGCTCAGAAGATGGAGGAAGGGGATGCAGCCAAGGAATGCCAGCATCCTCTAGAAGGGGGGATCGTTGAGGAAACAGAACTC